ATTTGAGTTTTCCTAACATAGAGTTTATTTACATTTGCTGGAATCTGAAGGGATGTGAGTTAGGGAGAAAATTTAGATGAACTAAATGTGCCTTACAGTTAATGTTGGATTTGTTAGAATCCAGAAAAACATTTAAGATGATGCATATTTTTAAAATTTGAAAATAATGCTCCAGTGTAAAATTCTAAATCTGACTTTTCATAAGGTATGTAAAATTGAATTAGTTATTACATATAAATTCTTTTATGGTCAATCAGCTTTGTAGATAAAAAAAAAAAAATAGCCCAAACTTATTGTGCTTTCGGTGTAGCTTAACAGTAGATCATCAGTTATGTTAAACAATGCATGCATATTTTGTTTCATCCACTGTAGTTCCCTTAATGTACTCTCACTTATCCCACTTCGTCCCATGTTTCCTGTAACAATTAACAGCGTACATCCTGAGAGATGACTGGTGCTTTCATTAGCAGGCATGACCCTAGGTGGCTCAAATTGTTAAGTACTCAATGCTAAACAAAAGGTTGGAGCTTCAAGTTCACCCAGAGGTGCCTCAAAAGAAGGGCCTGGCGATTTTCAAAACTATTAAAAAAATCATCCTTTGAAAATCCTTATGGGGCATTCTTACTGTATATTGCCTTCTCCTTCTCCCAAGGTAACATGAATTCTAGATAGTGACTTCCCCTCTTTTGCCTTCCCACCCCCGGTAACCATCAAAGAATTTTCCTTTTAGTGTGAAAACTTGTTCTTGATCTTTACAACAGTGGTTTCATAAAGTATTTTTTGTGTGTGATTAACTAGTTTTACTCAGTGTATGTCCCCAGGTTCATCCATGAGTTTCTAACCTTCTGTAATCTTTATTTGATTCTTGTAAAGACCAAACATTACAATTGAAAATAATCTAACCCAACAGTTCTCAACTTGGGGCAATTTTGCTTCCTGGGATATCTGACAATTTTTGGAGATATTTTTGGTTGCTATGATCTGTGTTGCCATTGAAATTTAGTGGATAGCAACCAGGGACACTGCTAAATATCCTGCAGCCCACTAAACCTCATCATAGTTCAGAATACCAAGTGCTACAGTTTGGTTACTTTGGTCTTCTTTAGATTGATGGTAAATTTAAAGAAGTTCTATATTAATTAAGGTGACTTTAGGAGTGTCTGCTGATTTCATAGTTCTGTCAAAAAAATTATTATGGTTGACTATTTGAGGTAGATGTTACATTGAGACAAATTCTGCCCCCCTTTTAGATAGATACGATGATATAAACCTAAATCAGTATATTATTATTGGAGGCAAATATCGATGTGAGGATATCTAATAGGAATAGAGAGATAACTTATTTAATTACACAAATTATTGAAGAGACTTTAGTGAGAGTCTGAAATTTTGTATGAAATTGACTTAAATTTTGATATGTTCTATTTAGGCTTCCTGATGGATTTTCTCAGCTGTTAAACCTAACGCAGTTATATCTGAATGATGCTTTCCTTGAGTTCTTGCCAGCTAATTTTGGCAGGTAAAAACCTTTTATTGCTATCTCTGATAAGACTTGCAAAAATACAAGTTACTTTTAATAATACTATTGATTAAAGTTTATTCGCTTTTATTTTGTAATTACATGTAAGCATTATGGTCTTCCTAGATATTTTTGCTTATCTTTAACAATTTCACTAACCTAACATACAATTCATATATC